TAGACTCACTAGCGTCCTATCTTCCTGTGGTAGCTTACGCTCATTGCGGTTTAGTACTAGCGGGTAATTCATCACCTTATGACAGTTTACAAGGTTTGGTCATTAGGGGCACATCTACTTACAAATTCGACCATAGCTCGACATCTTTTTTTTATAATGGTAACTAATTTGTTTTATTATTAATATTAATGATTTAATTCCACCAGGTGCGTTTATTCCAGCTTCATTAGCCTATTGATGCGCACTTCCTTGGATGTAGAATTTAAATGTAATTGGCAAAGAGCGAATATATCCATTATATATATATATATATATATATATATATATATATATATATATATATATATATATATATATATATATATATATGGGGTCATCCATAAATGACGTCACACTCGTAGGGGGGAGGGGGGGTCCGTAATTTTGTGACGATGTGTGATGAGGGGGAGAGGGGGGGGGGGGGGGGGTCAGATGTTGCGACGTCACATTTTTGCATTATAAAAAAGCAATGTTAGAAAACGAATTTTAGACGTTATTTCGCGTTTTAGATAACTGTTTTAATAAATTGTAATAGTTAAGACAAGATTTTGGAAAAATATCAATGTTTAAAAAAAATTCAACTGCAATTTTGAGGGGGGTTGTAGGTTGAGGTGTGACGTCATTTTAGGGGGGGGGGTCTGGCTTTTTGTGACGAAGTGTGATGGAGGGGAGGGGGGGAGGTAAAAATCGTCAAAAAAAGCGTGACGTCATTTATGGATGACCCCTATATATATATATATATAAATTATCCTGTCGTGTTTAGCTTCTGTGCTCTAAGTCGCTAAGGTTTGAAATACACCTAAGCGATGTGGTATGTCCTCAATCTTAGAGGCCCGAGTTTTTTCCCCATAGTACAGTATCGAATACAGCTATAGGTGAGACGGGTCTTGTCCATATAAGCCCCGCCACTAATGCAAAAAGTGCGCGCGCGAAAATGTAAGCCCCGCCACTTTTTGCCAGTTCCAATTTAATGCACGCACACAACAATACGGGTTAAGGTTGGGGCTACAGTTAAAGGTACCGAAATACAGACCTTTTCATGCAAATTATTAAAGCCAGGTCCCAAATTAACCCTCAAAAGTACAATTTTCATATCCTCGTTTCGGAATCTTTTTTGGGTGTCGGTGGTTAACTTTTTGGTGGGACTTAATTGGACAAGATCCAGTAAAACAAGCAGTAATTGCCTTGGGCATTTTTCCACGTTGGTCGGTTGTTTTTGTCTGTGTCGACACTGTTTCAAGTAAGATGCAAAAAAATTAAAGCGAATTGAAACACAAGCGACCTTCAAGATGAAAGTTATCTACTAGTATGTGCATGCTACAAAACCCTTTAAACCCTTGATATTGTCTTTCGCTGCCGTCCTCCATTACCAAGCTGGGATTCCGGCAGTTAACTGACCAGGACCCCGTGTCCCTGATCCCAGCCCCGTATATCATGTTGCCTTGTTTTACATTCTGTGCAGTCCAATTCCCTCGAGGGGAATGCATTTCTCACATGAGCGGAGACAACTCAAAAAGATAACATCATATTTTCCCAATCCTCCTGCTGGCCTTATAAAAACTTGAAAAACAGAATTAATATCACTGACTGATCTCTTTCGATTTCCCAGCATTCGTCCGAAAATAATTTTTTTTGGAAAATCTAACCTTCTGTCTTGTATACACACCCCCTACTGTTTTGACCGATTGCTATGAACTGGTGGAGGGAATAACGGTCGACCCCAGATAAATAAAAGCAAACATCGTTCCTGTCCTGCCCAGTTTGCCCTAAGAGGCCATCTCGCTCTAAACCCGGAAACCGTAAATGAAGGAGCAAATAAAAGGCGAAGTGTGCCCTGCATTGCTGCTGGAGATTGCCGTCTTTCTGACGCTTTCTTATTCTCTACATGTTTGTTAGGCGTCTGTGTGCTGGCACTTCTTTTGGGAAAAAATAGTCGTGTGTTTCTTTACTAAACACACTTGATGTTTGAATATGTCTGATTTTATTGAATTTGTTTTTTTCAAATACTTGAGTTTGATGAGCTTAGTCCGAATTTTTAAAATGAAATTTAAAAAAAGTTTTGTTGAAGAAATTTTGTTCAACTATTTTTTAATATAAAATTTGGTGATATAGTATTGCGTGTAAACAAGTAAACAATGTATCAGTTCATTCATGCATGCAATCTTGCAAGAGATGTACTGAATAAGAGAGAGAAAGAGAGAGAGAGAGAGAGAGAGAGAGAGAGAGAGAGAGAAAAGAGGGACAGAGTGATGGCCGGAGAATTTCTTGCTGCCCTGAGAGATGAAAATGTATTTTGCTTGTCAGAATAACGGAGTGGTTTGTTCATTAAAGCCAGCACCCCCACCCCCCTTTACCCTCAGCTGGGACCTGATGTGATTTCACGGCGTCACAAATCAGAAGATTGCTCCAAATTGGGGCTCATCTCCCTGCCGGAGCTGCCGATAACTTGACCCCAACCAATTACTGCTCATAAATTCCCACTCGCGGCGTCCTCCTAAGGTCTTAGGACTGTCAAATTTTTAACCGTTTCAAAACTCCATTTATCCATGATGCATTAGCAAAGGGTCATACGATTTCTATATTATCGTGTTTCTTGGTATTCAAACAATCTTTTTTGCGTATTTTCTCAAGTCCTTTCACCGATTGTTTTGAGAATTTATAAACTTTTTCTTAGTACAGTTACATTGTTAGGCTCATCTTTGATATATATGCGCCTGCAAGAACTATACATCTGTAACACATATGGTTACCAACCAAGGGGATTAAGAATAACGTTTTAATTCATTGGGTTGCGGCCCCTGTGGGACCGCAACTGAACGGTTGATGTAGTTGTTTTGCATGCTCTGATATGAGCGATTTTACCTGTGTCCCATGTCATGTGACATGAGATTATGGGTAGTTCGTGCCTAGCCGTGTCAGAGACCCAAGGCTGCTGTCTGTAGACACGGTGGGTGACGGTACCTAGAGGTAGACATAGACATAACAATGTAGACCTAATGAAGGTAATGTGGTTATATAAATTATGTTTATTGTTAGAATACTTATTGGTACTTGTTGGCAGTACTGTGTACTGGCCGCAACATATTTTATTGCACCCGTGTATGTTTGTAGCCTACACGTGGTATTATCATTGATGTAACTTTTTGTTTACGTTTGTTTTAGGGCTACGGTTTTTCTTCTTTTTGTTTTGTTTCATTATTCATCTCTAATCGTCGTACTACTGTTGTTCTACATCGCCGTCATGCCTCGATGTACTGTTGAATAAAGTCAATTAGTGGACAACAGCGTCGCTTTGAGTGTGTCCTAAATCTCAGGGTCAGCCCGTCTTAACCACAACACTTCAGTGGGTAAAAGCATCCCCACTGAGTGAGGGTTACACATCCATATCACCTTTAAGCGAGCTTTCTCCTAATTGGTAATCCATTCTAGTGTCCTCCTCCAAGTTAATACTCAATGTTCCTTCCACTAACATGGTACTTTTAATTACACCCTTAGCCTCCTGTGTGAAAAACTATCTTGCTCTCTTGAAAACAGGGTAGCAAGCTAAGTTTTCCTGTATAATTACTCCATCAGATCGTTGGTAGCTCCAATGTTATATTCCTTCGCTGTTATACGAATGCAGTGTCTCAGATCTAGTTTTAAATCTCTTCTTTGCACATTTTTGCACAAAGTTATTGTTAAATGTATAGCAGGTTAGTTTTTTTAATGCATCAGTGCTTATATGGGCACAATTTGTCACTACTATATTCAGCAAAACTGTAGGACGGGAAGTAAACATAGTCCGTCTCATTGGTCAATAGCGTTTTCCCGTCCAAAACAGGTTTAAACTTTCTTGTGAAACTAAATAAGTGTAATTTCACACCCGATTTGAGTAGATCTTCCCTACCTCGTGAATGAATGGTTGTCTGTAATCTACAGCCGGTGTCCGCCTGTAGAAAATCGATTCCAGCACCATCGGCCGGATAAGGGGAGTTGACTCCGTCAAAGTTTAGGGACACCGGTTATACTGACATAGTGGCTTGAGCTCTCTGTTGACTTACTCGGATTGGCGGGAAGTAATCGTTTGCACAGAGGCACTTCGTTTTGATAACATCTCAAATATTTTTTACATTTTTTTTAACCCCATTGATGTAGTTTGGTCTAGCATGACATGTGTACACATAAATATACACGTGGGAGGGAGGGCGAGGACTTTGTTTCTCCGGGAATACGATATATGTACACGGGCATGTTCTCACGCAAGCACAGGCCTAAAGATGTATCAAGTTCATTCTCGCCCTGTTTGTTTAGCTTTCATATCCAGCGTTGTTTTTATTATTTAGACTGAAACTAGAGAAATTCCAAGATACACGTTCATCGTTGCTACACACGAGGATAGATTTGAACGTTTCCCAGAAGAAATGTTCTTTCATGTTGTTGTTTTCTTCTCTAAACTTTTTTTTTTCTTCTTTCCGTATTGTGAGCTGAACCTAAATCTCAGCCGTATTAGTCCTACACACTCAAGATTAAATTGTGTGCTAAAACCTGTCCCTGTACATTTGATTAAACTCTAGGCAAGCAGTAAAATATACCGAGTAAATTAAAGACAAAAAAAAAGATTTATGTGAGGGCTGGTCAAGAAACAAGTTAATGGTGATTAGTTTTTTTTTTACTAAATGTACTTGTGTGGAACAACATTACATCAGTACTGTTAAAAGGGAGACTACTTATGAAATTCAATCATATTAGAGATAGAATCAAATATAAGGCATGGCAATTTTTGCATTCTTTCTCTGTTAACAAAAAACCCTTAATCTTGTTGTTACAAATAATATTCACACTGTCTTCTAATAATTTCTTATTGTTTTGAACTATATTATCTCATTGTTTAAAATAATATTCACACTGTCTTCTAATAATTTCTTATTGTTTTGAAATTACACACTATCGCCACCCTCTAGTGAGATCTATCTGTTGATCAGGTAAAAAGAAACCATCCCCACAGCTTCTGGGACTTGTGTCCATATTTTTATCTGAGGTCACTGAGCTGCTCCCTCAGCTGATTGGGAGTTTGGGAGAAAACATCTTTTTAGATCTATATAAGGTAGGTTGTCTCACATTTAGTTTTAATTTGTCCAACAAAATACATATGAATAATACAAGCCCATTAACAGAGTATTCATCTGATATATTTAATCTTTATTCATCTAATCAGTCGGCACAAAATTGTAATTAAAACTTTAAAAACAAATGTCATTGCTTTAAACAATAAAAATAAAACACCTATTTTTTCTAGACACCATTTAACCTGTTGTGGCTTGTAAGGCTAGCAGACACAACACTGTCATGGCCAGATATTCACAAGGACATCTACACTGCCCATTTGGCTCTACACTGGCAGTGGACTGGGGAGAAACTAAGCTTCTTGACGGAAGGGAATCACAAGTAGGAGAAATTTGCATTGCTCATCAGTTTTATTGCTTGTTTTTTTTTACTCACGATTTATGCTTTGATAAAAGTAATAAAAATGTACACAGGGTAGTTCAATTTTCACAGAGTTGAAACAATCCGGTCTTCTTCAATTAAATATTGACTGCCTACATTTTGTTCTTTTGAAACTGGCTCAGATTACGCTGAATTCATGTGTCTGAGGCAGTGGTTTTTTAACCTTTTTGGAGGTACCGAACTCAACCAGTTTCATATGAGCATTCACATAACCCTTCTTAATAGCTCTATAATCAGTACTGATGAAATTTGATTGTAAATCATATGCATTGGGTGTGTCTTGACCTCTGCTGAACCCCTAAGGCTGAGGGACCAAACCTCTTGGGTTTCGATCAAATACAGGTTAAGAACCACTGGTCTAATCACATTATAAACAAAAAACTATGACAATAAAAAGTTGTGATCTCTTAAAGTTCACTAAAAGAATTCTAATTAAAGCATGAAAAAGCTTTTTTAGCCTCTTAATTTTTGTTTAAATTTCAGTGAATTTATTAATGTGTATCATTCATTTAAACACCAGATCAATGATATTTTCATTATATTTTCTGATTCTCCCCAGTGAAAACCCCAAACTAGACATGGTCGTTCAAGAACTGAAAAGACATCTAGGAGGAGGAGACCACTCTGCCAAACAGTTCTCCAAATTCTGGTCATCCTTTGGCCACCCAAAACCTTTTGTGGACAGGAAAGAAGCTGAGCTGTGCATGCTGTTGAACAAAGTTGTCTGGGCTTTAAACCTAAACCAGACTGATTCACTGGAGGTCCTGCAGAAAAAGGTCAGAGTGCTGACTGCATCAGCTGTGACTAGCCAGGTATGGGAGATAATCACAAGTGTAGAGCAAGGGGACTTAACACATGTTGAAGCAGGTAAAGTTTTCAATGTTATTGATTTTTACTTTTAAACAGTATCAAATGCATTGTGCATTGTCAAATTTTATTAACGATTTTATTTATATTGGACTTGAAAATTCGTTAAAATTATAAATACAATAACATATTTTTTAATTTAAAAAAAATAAATGAAGAATTAAATAATTGACTCATATGTTAAATTTTTTATTAGCATGTTGAAACAAAACTATTTTCTATACCAGCACTGCAAGTTGTAGTCTCAGTACTGTCACAGAGTGGAATTTCTCTCCAAACTGGCGCCAAACAGAATAGTGAACCTGTTCAAAGAACAATAACTCTAGCTGATCAAGCTGATAGAATCAAGCCATTTAAGTTTGTGACATTATGGCCCTTGTTTGAACACATGTCCCTCCTGACACAGTTCACTTTGGATGTAAAATCATTGATGGGAGCCCAGATTTCATCAGACTGCCTTCAGCTTGTCAGCAAATCATCAACAGCTGCCTGCATGGGCTATGTCTTATCCCACACACCCAATGTGGTTACACCCAGCTCTCACTGTGTAAGTGCTCCACTATAGCTTGCATCTTCATGAAATTTACACAATAATTTTATACACATGTATACCTTTTTGAGGAATTGTGAAAGTTAGATATGGCTTGATGTAATGTTCATCTATTTTTAGGGCATACTTTCTAGACTGTGGGAATCACAGATTAGCCGCAACTACCACACGTGGCTGGCGTGGCCAGTGGATGAAGAGTTTGCCTTAAGAGAAGAAATTTTGGTAAATATATCTTTTTGACCAGTCAATTTATTCTACTTTTGTGCATAACTTTCTTGGCATTTTATTAAACGCCCTTCAGTAGCATTATGTTTTAAAAACATTCTTACAGATAAAAATAAATGTTTTTGTTAATTAAGTTATTCCACTGAAATTTTCCATCTCCATAAAAAGTTATAGATCTTGTAACCATTTTATATTTCAATTTAGAATATTCATTTTCTTTAAATTTCCTCTTGTTATGTTAATGATTAAAAATTTTAATAATGCTATAATAAGTTCACCTTCCTACAGCTTTGCATCTAATGAACATATTCTATTGGTTTATTCCTGCAGGGTCCAGCCATGCTGCACCATTCTCCCATGTCAAGGTTTGCCATGCAGGTGTTGTCCAGTGGCTCCAACACTGACCTGCTGCCCTTGCATGTGACTCTGGGTGGACTGGAGGAACAGACCCAGCAGGTGGCGTTGGTGTCCAGACATGTCTGGTGTCACTGTGCGACACTGGCCAGTCAGGAATTTGATCCAAGGTTAATCTACTCACATTTTTTTCTCATATGTAATTGATAATAAACTTTTATAATTAAAACAATAATGTGTGAAAAGTTTTTGCCTTATAAAGCAATTTTAGAATTGTTTTCGATCCATTACTAGAACACTATTACATGTTATTTTGCGTTCACCATGTTATATGTTCCCAACTATAAGCAATTTTTAATGACTAATTATTTAACCTTATGTGATCTTCCAAATTTAAGTTTTAATACTTAATTGGTATAGCAGTTTTTAAAAATTATCATTTCAATTACTAATCGGGGTCGGCGTGGTCGAGTCGGTAAAGCTCATGGTTGCTAAACCGAAAAGACTCGAGTTCGAACCCTCGGGCAGATGAGGCTCGTTAGCTGGGGACAGCCACTCTTCTAGGAGAGACTACTCCAAAATTAAACAACTGCTGCCTTGTAGTTAGTTCTTGGTTGGACAAAGGCTATGGAAGCAATTCCAAAAAGAAAAGCAGGCTGAAATCGGAGTCAATGGCCTCAATGGCGAATAACCAGTTGACACGTAACGCTTAATTGTGTTTGAGGTGTGGTCGAGTCGGCAAAAAGCTCATGGTTGATAAATTCGAACAAAGTCTTGAGTTCAAACCCACTGGCAGATAAATCTCGTTCCACTTCAACACTAATAATTAAGAACGAAGAAGAAGAAAGAAAGAATTACTAATCAGCAAGTTCATATGTACTTAGTGAGGGTGTGTCAGTTTATTAATTACCTTTACAGTAATGGCTGAACTCTTTATTTGCCATCCCCAGATATCTAGAGCAACAACTACTTTGGCATGCCTTTATCAAACTTGTCAGAACCCTTGAGACATTATTACCAGAGAGTACACAGCCAGATTGGTCTGAGGTAGTGATGAAGCTACAGACCTCTGATGACAACAAACCCCTAGTCCTGGAACATCTACTCCAGCTCCTTAACTCAGGTGGTCACAACTTATCTGCTGAGGTGACAAGAGAAATACATCACTGCGTTGGCTCAGTGAGGGATGTGTTAGGCTTGACAGAAAACCCATCTGCTGTTGGCCGTGGGTTAGTTTCCGTAGGGATTGTTCTAGTACACTTGCTATCACCCAAAGGACCTGTTGACCCCATTGAAAAAGCTTGTCTGAAACTGAAGCATTTCACTCAGGAGGTAACTACCTTGCTTGGTATATTTTTTTGTAATTCAAAAATTGTATATGATAACTATTCTCTCTTCAAATGAAAATAATTGCTATGAGGTTAGGAATTTATTTTTCAACATTAAAAAAGTATTTGATAAAAATGCTACTCTTAACATAACCCAAGCCCCAAAGCTAATCTTAACTCTAACAGTAATACAGAAAGAAAATTCTTCTTAATCATCATCATCATTTTTTCCCGTTGGTGCCCAAGACACAAATAGCTGAAGTAGAGTTCATCTGTTTCACTGACTTCAGCATACACTGGGATAATGTGGTCAGCATTATGCCCGGCCGCCTTTTTTACCTATTAGTTTTATTAGAACCCAACAATAAATCTGCATAGAGCAGAGGCCAAAAGTTAGAAATATTTGCTTGTATTTTCTGAGATTTTTAAATTAAATTTACTAACGCAAAATTCTCACTATCTGCAATTCTGTTTTTTAATAGAACAAAGCAATAGAAGCAGAACTTAAGGTATGGAACATTCACCTTGAAGCCTCCACAGGTGTGGGGATAAGTGCTACACCCACAGAGCACCTACACCCCAGGGTGGTCACACTTTTACAGAGACAAGACAGCCTGAAGGCTAAAATAGTTAAATTAGAGAAGTTTTCAGCCTACAGACCTGATCAGATGCAGGTGAATACTGGATTTTGAATATATAATACTGAATATCTTAACAATTTTTATATAAGGTGTATTCATCATATGCATTTAAGATTAGAAATGTTAAAAATATAGTGCTTCCCACTTTTTTATAATCTTTTATCCTATTTTGTGTGTGTGTGTGTGTGTGTGTCATTCATGTCCAGACAGTTTTATCTGAAGAAACTTTTTATGCAGTCTTTTTTATCAAAGCTTATCTTAAAAAATTATTTATTAAACTGTATAAGATTTTTTTATGCCCAGTGTCCTGTCTAATTTCATTAAAACAGTATATATCCTTTTAGTTGAGACTAAGTCAGTGTACACCTGCATTGTTATTCTCAACAGTACACCCAGTTGTGCCAGGCTATAAACAGATTTCTGGAGAACACCTGTTCCGCCCACAAGGTGTCAGATCTGCTGAACAAGATGAACCTGGTCCTGTCCAGAGAAGAGAGTGACGCCCAGGTGACAGGTTGTTTGAGGGAGGAGAGAGTTTGGCAGGACACAACCTCAAGGTTCATCAGCCAGCTACAGCACACCTTTGAGTGTTATAGAGACATTGTCGTACCTTTTGTCAATGCTCTCTACAAGGTTGGTTCTTAAAAATTATTACTCAGTGAGTGTTATGCCGTCAGTTACTTACACAAGATGTTCAATTAGAAGCTGACTGACAGTGTAAATAATGGTTTTTATTATTACTGAGTAAGTGTTATGCCAGCATGTTACCTTACATACCTAAGATGTGCAGTTTTTTGTTAGTACTGTCAGGTTAAATAGTGATTTTTTTTTTACAGGTTAAACTTGGACTCAGGCTTTTGGCTGTGAATGTTGAACATGCTTTGAATAAGCACAAGGTATAGTAGTGTTAGTCTTTCAGATTTTTTTATTCTATCTGTTTTTACGCATCGCCTCAGCTCCCTAAAGTTTTGTTCATTCATCTTGAGCACAAGACAGCAACATTTACCCAATTAAAAAAAAAACCCAGGGACTTTTCACAGCACCCCCACCCCACAACTACTTTTTAATCTGTAAGGTCCAGAATGATGACTTAACTATTATATTTTGATTTTTCATCAAATTGAAACAACTTTTTTAACACTGTTTACAATACATGTAATAATTTGTGGTGATGATGAGAAACCCTGTGGTTTTTTGTTTACTATATAAGTACTTATACTATTGATCATTTACTGCTTAGAGAAATCAACAAGATAAAAAAAAAAACCTGTTTAACACTGTTTTTCTTCTTTACCAGGTTTGGTGCACCAAGAAAGTAGAATCGGTGGTAAAAACCCTGTGCACATTCCCCTCAGTCAATCAGTCACTGCCAGATCTGCTAACCTTGGCTAATCATCTGGCCATCATGACATCTTATGACAGCATCCCCACTACATTACAGCTGGCATCAAAGGATCCTTCATCTGCTAAAAACCACACCCAAGGTGTCAAATCTAGGTAGGGTTTCAAAATTTAACTCAAGTCTTTAATAAAAGAAATTCTTGTAATTATTTAATTTATAATTCTCGAATGCAGTTTCTGGATTGTGGAGTTGAGACATTTCTTGCCTTTATAATTAGAATTCTAAGAGAGGTTTCAGATTTGTAACATCCATATTAGTTAATTTATACAATTTATTACATTTAAAAAATAATTATCTATTTCCTTTAGATTACTATAAGTTTACTGTAACTATTTATCAGGTTGCTTGTGTGTGCCTTGCTTCTGATGAAGGCACACAGTTACTGCACCAGACAGATAGACGGCAGTCTAATCTCTACCATATCTCACATCCTGGGACTGTTTGCTGCTGCTTGGGCAGAGCAGGAGGAGCGCAGGAGACAGAAGGAGGAAGAAGAGGCAGCACTTTACAAGTATAAAGACCAGATACACGGGGATGAGAGATCTGAGAAGGAAAAGGATGAAGCAGACTTTCAGGCAGCTTATCCATCTTTTGCTAAGGCAAGTTACATCTTGAGCTGTAGAACTTTTAAAATTTTTGTAGTATTGTTTCTAAGATTATAAGATTAAGTTTCTATCTTTTGCTTTGTTTCTACTTTTTAGTATAACTTCAAAGATAATGTTTAACATTTGTTACAACCATTTGTATATCTACAAATGTCAAAATTACTGTGTCTGAGTACATTACACATAGACATAAAACTATTTTGTTTTCAAAATTTAAACCTTTTATCTATGGGATTTTTTTTTTACATTACTGTAGAAATATAGTCTGTTGTTTATTTCTTAGTTTATTTAGTGAATATTGCATTTTAACTTCAGCTATATAAATTATAAAATTTTTCCTTACTCTGCCCATTTGCCAAGACTGGTATAACAACCAATAGTAAGTTACCTGTAATTGTTCCTGTTTTATATCAAATGACTGTTGTGAGAAGTAACTTGATGCCTGTGAATGACGACCCAGATTGTTGAATACAGTACGAAGCAAAATGCTTTAGCCACAGTAGGTCTGTTGTAACCTAAATATGTTGTAGTATAACATTATTGTTAATAAAATAATTTTTCTCTTTAGGACTTCATAGATGTGACTGGTGCTGATAGACTAGAGGATGTAGGGCTAGAGGCCACACATGAGACAGGTGTCAAACAAACATCACTAGAAGGCATCTCATTGGCTGAAATGGTGCAAGTGTGTGCTGCCCACAATGACATCCTCACAACAATGTCAACAGCTGATTGGCTAGAGAAAGTCCCATGTGATGGCTCTGTCATTTCAGATGTTCTCACCTCATCACTCATGTCCTACCAAGTTGGAGCTGAGGTTGTGAAAAGTTCATTCACTACTTTGAGTAAGGAGAATATTCATTTTCTTTTCTTGTTGCAAACTTTTTATAAGAATAAATATTTTAAATCTTAAATAATTGAAAATAATTATAATTTCTATTCTCTTGTTATTTACTATTTAATCCTACTTCTTTTATTGTTAATTTTAATGTCTGATTACTTTTAAAAATATTAAGCAGTAAAGGTGCAGGGTCTGATATAATTATTGTTAGAACCTGCTTAAAATCAAATACTGCAACAGTAAACTTTGTCTCTTTTAACCCTTGAACCTACTGTATGGTTCCAAGGATACGCAAGACAAATACATGATGCATACACATTACCTAGTTTGTTTAGGACTTTAAATGGGAGTCACAGTGAAACAACTAATTTAAACCTAATGCTAAGAAATAATGTTATTATTTCTCACTTTGTGTCTTAACTGGAAAGTACTGAATCTAATTGCTAGTTTATCTAATGTCAGAATTATGAATTTTAATATTGTAAGAATTTCATTATAAATTTATACAGGTCCAGATATTGACAAAAGTATTCTGGGCAGTCACCTTCTTGTTGGAGGGTCAGTTCTACAGTATTTAGACACACAATCTTCAAGTCCAGTTTCACATGTAGGTCTAGTTTTCTCAACTAAAAACTAAAGCCATTCCAAAAACCATAACTGTTGTTATCAATGCTATCGTTTCATGTTTCATGGATACTGATACAGAAATCAAATGCCTAAAAACATTTATTTATTTGTTTTCTAGACACTGCTACAGAAATCTTATGCCAAAACCTACAACATTTACTATGATGCCAATGTTCCTGAGGTGATCAAATGCAAGCCTGTGATTGATAGCCTGCGCAGGAGGGTGGAAGAACTACAGAAGGAATGGCCAGACCACCCAACACTATTGCTGGTAGGTTTTATTTCACTGATGGATGTAGCAAAAAAAAAAGTGCTAAGATAGTTTTTGTTAAGTTTGTATCAAATGAAATGTGCTCTAATTTTTTATGAAATGATTCAGTTGAACCAGATCATGGACAGAATACTTACCTTTTCTGTGACCAGCCCTGTCATTAAGTTCTTGACTGGCCTGGAGCTACTGTTGCAAAAAGCCCAGGTAAAAAGCTATTTAGTTTTTACAATTTGGTCCCTCTATTAGCTATCAAGCTGTTATTCTCACTCAAGTTGTTCAACACATAAAATAGATCTTATTTTTAAGATGGATTTTAAAAAATCATTTTAGAACTAGAAGATATGACATAAATTTATTGTGCAATATTTATTTACAAAGTATGTTAAAGCAAAATTAGATTTTTTTATATAGTGACCTCAGTTTTATTACAATTTCAGCTTAAAATTTTTTAAGCACAACCTTAAATAAAAAATTAAGTTGATTATACTATTGTGGTATGAAGATTATAATTTACGATATTTTGTAAACTCAGTTGATTTTACAAAAGCTAGTGTATTTATAAGTTATCACTTTTGGCATATTTAGCAGTAAAAGTACAAGGTCTGATATTATTTTAAGAACCTGCTTAATATTGCAGACATGCCTTTCGTCCCGCCAAAATCGGAACCGTCCGGCTTTTTCACCTAAAAAAGTCATTTGTTCCGTCATTCGGATTTTGACTCAATTTGTTCCGATTTTAATTTTTAATTAATTATTTTTATTTTTTGACTTAGTAGTGTCCGCGCGTTTGTTCCTCCTTTTGGCTACAAATTCCTCTTTTTAGGCATGACTGTTCCTACTTTTGGCTGACAGGGGTAGGCATGTCTGATATTGAATACTGCAATAGTAAACTTTGCCTCTTCTAACCCTTGAACCCACAGTATGGTTCCAAGGATAAGCAAGACAAATACATTATATATATACACATAACCTAAATTAACCAGTGTTGTGATAGGATGTCACATGAAGATCTGTTTACTCTTGCAGGACTGGGAAAGTAATGCAGCATCTTTCGTGTCAATGTCAACACAACTTAGTGAGATTACTGCTGTTATTGTTGAATGGAGGAAACTGGAGTTAAGGTACATTTGTTTTGTTGCTTTTGTTAAAGAAATCTGTTTTTAACTTACTATTCTGTTTTTATATGTTGATTGTGAGATTATTTATAACTACTTATTATATTGGCATGATTATTAAAATAGCGTAATTGTTTTGTGAATTTCAAATTTAAAAAAAAAGTTGATTACTGTATTATCAAGTTGAGCATGTTTGTAAGCTGCAGTGTATTAGGTATCAAATGTAATTTATAGTTACAGTTGTATCACATAAGCTGCAACAGTAAACCTGTATCGATCCTTCAAGGTGTATTTGTTGACCTTTGAAGTTTGCACATCATGGACAATAATTATGTGTACACATTTAGGCAGAAATCTTTTTAAAAATTTCCTTTGTTTATGATTGTAGTTATCTGAGCCATGTTAAATCAGCTTTGTTTATATTTGTTTAGTTGCTGGAGCAGCTCACTAGACAGGGAGGAAGAAAAATGTAAAGAGAAAGCCAGCCATTGGTGGTTTCACTTGTACCAGATAGTGTCAGGTTCACTGGCTGAGGCATCTGACTCTAGTGCAAACACTGCTTCTGTGAGTAACTCAAATTGTTTATTTACTTTTATTATATTGGCATGTGTTTATTGGTGGGAAATAGTTTTTTACAGTGACAGTTTTAAGTATATTTAAAGTGTCAAACAAACTGTATTCCCTCTTGGACCTGAAAATAGGGATAGTGTGGTCATTCAAATGCCCAACCACCATCGCTTTCCCTAACTTAAGAGACTACCCTAACATGGATAGTCTCAGGGTCTTCTTATGGGTTCTAGTCAAGGAACAGAAATCAAGAAAAACTGATTAGTTGTTGTACTTTATGATGTGTGTGTTCTCAAACAGTTTGTGTTGGTTAAAACCAAACAATCCATTAACAATAAAAACAGAAAATAATAAAATAAAATAAAAATCTACTTTAAGTTATTATTTTATTGTATTTGTTGGTTAATTTAAAAAAAAAAAAAATTTATTGTTAAAATAGTTATATAATCGGCAGTTGATGCTTGTTTTAATTATCAAAACCATAACCTTACTCTAAATTTCTTTATATTAAGTATTGTTAAGCTTATATAACTAAATTGTATAAAAAATATTCTTTTGCTTTTCAGACCTTAGAGTTTGACACTCAGACTTCTCTGAAGAAATTTATGGAGAGCTCACCCATTGGAGAATATTCAGTTCGTCTTCAGATGTTGCTAGCTTTTCACTGTCAAGTGCTGCACACGGATAAAAGTCCAGCACAAAGTAAGCTCTAATATTGCTTTACAAAATGAACTTGGCCAATTTTGTGTGTTTACTGTGATAAAGGATTGCCTACCCTTAGAAAATTTTGTAATCTAGCATTTTGTGTTACAGAGAAACTTCTGCACATGCTGTGGAATGTTTACCAGTTTTATAAGCAGTACCAAAGTAACATTGAGGATGAAATTAAAAGACTCAGGAGTCCTATTGATAAACAACTAAAGGTAAAAAGAAAACCTTAGGGCTGAAAGTAATTAAGTCACAAAATAAATACTTTGAGAAAACTACTTGCACATTTAAAACAAAATATTCTATTTTATATGGTTGTTTTGAAGTATTAATATCTGCATAGATTAAGTCAAATCAAAGGATAAAAATTATTGCTCGGTTTGATTTTCTCTGAAGTGTGAGTCAAATACTTTAAGCAAATGCTCTTCAAGTGCTTTTAAGATTTTATATTTATATGTATATATTTATGTAAATGAAAATCTTTGTAAAATGAAACATTTCTAACAAGAATGTAACCATTTTGAAAACTTTATTTTAGGGTTTTGTGAAAATAGCAAGATGGAGTGATATGAACTACTGGGCCCTGAAAACATCGACAGAGAAAACTCACAGAACTGTGCACAAATACATCAAAGAATACCAGGTGATTTTTGAAAGCAGATTTTAAATATAGTAACATTTAAATTATTAATTCAAACTAATCATTTTTTTAAATCAGAGTTTTACATTGTGATGAAATTATTTTTCAGCACATCTTGAATCAGCCAGTCAAGAGCATACTTGGTGATAGGGGAGATGATCTTGTATCTTTAACTGTCAAGCAAACCTTAGGGTTTTCTCTACCTGACAAGTTGGATGGTTTCACTAAATATCTGTGTCAACAGCTCACATCTCACTCTGCTCCTGTAAGTAATGCAGTATGTCCACATTTAAAAACATTTCTTTGTTGATTCTTGTGGCAGATTTTAATAACATTTTTAATACCAAAAGATTAATTTTAATGACAGAGTAAAGCTTAAAAAAAAACAACTTATACTCACATATTAATCATCAGTGATAGTGTCTGTTGACAAGAAACCTTTTAATATCAGTTCTGTAAATGATTTATTTAATAGATTGACCTTCCATGAAGGTTTGAGTAGCTAATTTTCTATTGCTCATTCTGAATTTTTCAGTCAGCCTAAAAGTATTTAAATGATTTAAATGGTAAAATTACTCTCTGAATAGTGATAGTTTTATTTTTAACTCTACCCATGATTTAAGTTTGAGAAAAATTGTATATATACTAAGTGAGACATTTACACAAAACATTAGTTTGCTACTTTTAAAAGACAAATTAAACACTTTAGCTGGATTTCTTTTTTTAAACTTCCACAAAATAACTAGAAATAGTTAAAATCCCAAAATCAATGTCCCCTCCTCATTTATTTTGGTTAACTGGAAACATTTCATTGTGGAATCACAAGTTTGATTCATTTTTATTTTTCAGTTATGTCTCAAAGATATTTGTATCAAATCTTATTAAAAAATGTGTTTTTTTAACCATGATTTCAGAGAGTAGCCATGAATTTGCTTTTTTTTCCTTCATGTACATTCTCACCTGAAATAATGATTGTTTTTCACCAGTAAATTTTTTTTATTTCACAGAGTACTGTGACCTTTGTGGCATCTCCTGATATGACCAAAGACCTGCCTTTGCTACAACGTATCCCAACATTGTGTCGTAAGATGAAGAACCATCTCATGAAGTGTATTGCTGACTCTCATCATGCCAAAAATGTCCTGGTCTTTGATGGATTCACAGGTTGGTTTCTTTTTTTCTTCTTCATGCAAAATCCAATAAAAAATGGACTAAATCTTTTTAAAATATAGTTTAGCGAATCATTTTTAAAAGATTTAAATTTAGTAAAATCTGATGAGATTGTATATACCCTTGAATAAACAAATGTCATATTTTTTATAGGTGAACTAATACAAGAAATGCATGAGCTGCAGGCCTTACATGTTGATATGGTGAGTTTTGGTGGATGCTTGAAAATTTTAGTTGTTACGATACAGTTCTTATCTGCTTATGTTATGTAGTCTCTCACTTTCTCCTTCTTGTAAATAGTAAATAAAATTATTTTCTAATATTCTTCTCTGCTCTTTATATGCAGGCTTCTGACAAAGAAAAGCAGAAAACTGAAGCACGTTCCATTAACTTGAGAAAACGTAAAGGATTGTCAGAGCTCTACAAGTACCTTACACTTATAGGTAAGTTGTGTGAAATGATTCAGTTTAAAACACTATACTGTCACAGCACTAAAAACATCCTTATTTCTAGCTTACACTTGTGTGGGTGAGTTTAAAAAATTGTTCTACTTTAAACTTAATGTGCTAAAAACATTTTTTCTATCCCAGGTCTGTCCTATCGTAAAGGAGTAACTGGAAAGAAGACAGCTTTGCCTGATGCCTTAGAGTTACCACCATTGAACTTGAATGCACATCCATTGTGAGGGCTTTATTTAATGTTTAATTAGGTGCATCTATTGAGTGATTTATTTAATGTGTTTAATTATGTTCTGCATGTTGTTCAATAGCTTATTCTATTTATGTAATTTATTTTAATGATTACCATTGTTTGTCTAGGCTTCCAGTGACCACCCTGTGGTCAGGTTGTGAAAACTACTTCTATAGGTGCATCTCAAGACATGCTCAGTTCAGCTCAGCCATTGTGTCACCTTCTAAGGTAGGTCATTCTTGTTTTATTTCATTTTATACATCCATATTTTTTAATGATCATTTCCCCTATTTTATTTTTAAAAAATACAACTAGTATTTTATTCTTATTATTGATTTTTGTTTGTTTGTTAGTTGTTTTTTTTTTTAAAGATCAACTGACATTCAAAAATAACAAGACACTTCTAATAAAACTTGGATGATGACATTTGTATTGGTGAAGAAAAAAAAAATTAACTATTGTTTTAAAATATAACAACACATCTTCAAAAGAAAAATAATTTTAATAACTTTTTTTGTTACAGGAGCTGAGCATGTCTGATGTTGAAAGGTGCAGAGGTTTCATTGAGCACTTCTCTCAGTTGTATGTACAACAGAGAGCTAGGCTCACAGAATTCACTTCATGTTTCCTAACACTGAGGTAGGATGTTCTGTTCTGATTGTTAGGTATTGTATGTTGTCAGCAAACAAATAAAGATATTTACTGTAAACATTAAAAGTATCTAAAGAAATAAAGATAGTGATAAATGAATATTATTCATGACACAGTTTAAATGTGTAAAGTTTAGAACTTAAAGAGTATTCAAATTTTTATTTCTTAATCTCATTATTATACCTGTTATTTACTTTAACATTGCTATTGCTATTATAATTTTATTTATTTAAGAAAATGTTTTATATATTCTTTAGAAAATTACTCCAGTCACTGAAAACACTAGAAGAACTGTCAAGCTATAATCTACCACCACAGGATGAGTGTCACATATGGCTAGTAAGTATGGCAAGAAATTTTGGGATTTGCCTTAGTGTTGTAGACAGCTCACAATCCATGCATATCTGGCATGTTTAAAGTGACTTTTGGTCCAAACTGTATAGGCCTATATGCTATAGGAGTCTATCTATCTTTGAATATTTATCTTTGTTTAATTCTTTGTTTTTGCTAAAATGTAGTGTTTGGAAATTGTAGATTACTTTTCTTATAAAAAAAGTCCAATGAACTGTTATCAAATTTTGAAAAGAATTGTTATCAACCAATGACATAACTTTTATATCCAACAAAAAATCCAATATTCCTCAGGACAAAGTGAAGCAGTTAACAACAAAACTTTTTGAAGGCTTGACAGAGTTCTCTCTGCTACTAGAGTTGTGTCCCTCTCCCCACCAAAATCATTCCTTAGCTTCTGTCTACCCTTCCCCACTGACAGAGGACAGGCTGACTCCCTCTTCACTTTGGTGTAGGGGTGACCCTGAATGGACCCAGTACTATGGACTTACTCAGGTAATACTAGAACATTTTGTCCATAAAAAAATTAAAACAAATGCATCTCAGCTGTTTATTTTATTAAAAGTGACTGTATGAACTGAAATCAGTTTTTGTTCATTATACTAAAATAGATTTAGATAGTGGTAAAATGTTCCAATTTTAAAATATTTTCTTATATTTAGAAAATGCTTCAAGAGATAAAAGATGAACAGTCAAGTATTGACCATCTCTTAAGTAAAGCAGTACTTGGAAGGTTGGTGATTTTCTCTAGAAACAGTTATTACTATTTTTAAAATAAACATCACAACAGTTATTTCTTTTATATTGGGGAAAACATTTTTAAATCATCCTGTTTAATTTGGTTATGTTTCAGATTGTGTATTTGTTTATTCATTATTGAGATTCAAATGCATTAACTCATTGTAATGGATCATGATGTAAATAATTGTTTATCTGCTAGATGCACACCTATTATCTTATTATCTTACAGATTAGAGTATAATCATTTTATCCATTAGACCCTCATGCATTAATTTACTGTAGTTGACCAGGGTGTAAATAGTTTATCCACCAGCTCCTCATGCATTAACTCACTGTAGTTGATCAGGGTGTAAAAATTAATTATCCACTAGCTCCTGTATAACTCACTGTCCTACAGATCAGACATGGACTCCATCAGTAGAACTCTGGATGTCTACACCAGCTTCACCCAACAGTTTGAGCTGGTCACCTCCCAGTTCTCTGACCAGTCTGGCACCTCCAGCTGTCTGGTGTCCACCTTAGCATTCCTCACCTGTGAGATTTCAACCATAAAACAGGAGTTCAGCCCATGGCTGGCAGCGCTATCACCTGTGCCACCTGAGGTCCAGTCGGTTCAAGCCCAGCCTGACCTAACCCAGGTCACAGGGTTAAGCTTAAGGTCAGGTAAAATTTTACCACCATCCCACACAGCCACTGAAGTGACCGCCGCTCCTTGTGGGGACAAGTCGAAGCTGTTCTTGAAAGATGTCGAATCATTTGTGGAGGTCGTGCTACTCAGTGTCCAGACAGTGGTCAAGATGAAGGAAGAGGAAACAAAGAAAGCTCCAACTACCAAAGAGGATGATACAGACTCTGGTAAAATCATGTACTTGTTTTGTTAGTTAAACATGGATCATCTAAACTACATTACCAGTTGAATCAGCTATGGTAGCTTGTAAATATATCTACTATTTTATTCAACTGAAAGATTAAATCCTGCACCGATCCTCCATGGCGTATATGTTGGCCTTTGGAGTTTGCACCGCATGGACAGTTTGTTTTCTTTGTCTACTTTCATGTACATGTAATATTAAGCTATAATAAAGAATATAAGAAAGTTTATTAGTTACGATTCTACAGTTGAATTTACTATAGTTTAAATATATTATGTTATAATTCTGTGTTTTTTGTAAACAAAGAAATCAGTGTCACAGATTAGCAAGTGCTGGTTTGTTACACTCTTTATGTAGAACTTAAAACATGCCCAGCCTTAGGTCTTCTTGTAGCACATACCAAGTTCTCCTGACTTTGTTTTCCTTTATTTATTTCCTGACTTGTTATTGTTTACTCCACTTCTGTATACTGCCTTCAGTCCTTATTTCTGTGTTGTTTCCTGACTCTTAGCGCTTTTGTCAAGAATGAATTTTTTTTTATTACAGAAGAGCTGAAAGAATCTCATCTTACAAAGCATGTGCTAGACATAGAGAAAAACACCATGGATAAACTCAATTCTCCTAAAGTAATTATCAATATTTTTAAAGTTATTAATTTAAGAAGCCCTCATTTAATGCTCAATTAATACATTTCAATAAAATGTGCATAACACATAAACTAACAAATCTTTAAAACTATTTATACTGTTTAAAAATCTTTGTCATTATTTTGTGTATTACAGGTGGTAAACAAACTGGAAGAGCTGATAGCACACTTGAGCACCCTGTCCAGTGTGAAGACACCGAGCCAGTCAGAGAGCTGTGAGAACATCCCGCTGTGTGTCAGGTCACTTCTCCAGACCAAACCCCTGGTGCTAGCCTTCAGCTCCCTGGTGGAGAGTCAGCTGGGCAACTCTGTAGCAATACATCGCTCCATGGGCAAACTCTTGTCTGTCCTGCTGGCTGTGTTTGCTGAGATGGCTCAGAAGGTAGGGATTATCTTTTGTTCACACCTACATTTTAATGAAGAACATGTTTCTAGTCACTGACTTACAAAACTGTATTCCCCTTAGTAGAGATGGTGCTCTATTCATGTCATTGTTTAAAATGTAGTAAAGTTTGGCTTTTTTTTCTTTTCTCATTTGTGCCCAAGACACATTTTGCATATTTTCCCTAATGTGAGTAAGATACCCATCTGAACTCGAGACTTTGGGGTTAGAAGTCTAGTTCTCTACCGCTAGTCCACGCTGTCCCACAAAGTTTAGCTTTTAGTAAAGCCTTTAGGTCAAACGTTTTAATGAACCCAGATTTTTTATTTTTAAATTAGCGCAGCTATTCTCCTAAATTAAATCAATATTACATTTCTACAAAGTAATACAACATATAGACAGTTAAATTTTTATTAGCTCTTACTTTCAAATGATGCGAAAAATGTTTTTGAGTCAAAATTCTCAAATTACAGTTTAGAAAAACCCATGACTTAAATAAATCAACCATATGAGATTTATATGTGGTAATGAGGTAGACATTTAGAATAGCGTACCTTTTAAGCACTAGTTGTTTTCTCGACCTGTAAGTAACATTTTTTTCTCAGGGTTTCTGTATACCACCTGAGCTGAGTGAGGAGGTTGACGGAGAAGGTGCCACTGAGTTTAAAGACATTGAAGGGGGTGGTATAGGAGAAGGTCAAGGGGCAAAGGATGTCAGTGACCAGATTGAGTCAGAAGATCAGGTGAGATTCTATAAAATATCCAACAGGTGAGTTAGACATGTCAGTGACCAGATTGAGTCAGAAGATCAGGTGAGATTCTATAAAATATCCAACAGGTGAGTTAGACATGTCAGTGACCAGATTGAGTCAGAAGATCAGGTGAGATTCTATAAAATATCCAACAGGTGAGTTAGACATGTCAGGTGAGTTAGACATGTCAGTGATCAGATTGAGTCAGAAGATCAGGTGAGATTCTATAAAATATCCAACAGGTGAGTTAGACATGTCAGGTGAGTTAGACATGTCAGTGATCAGATTGAGTCAGAAGATCAGGTGAGATTCTATAAAATATCCAACAGGTGAGTTAGACATGTCAGTGACCAGATTGAGTCAGAAGATCAGGTGAGATTCTATAAAATATCCAACAGGTGAGTTAGACATGTCAGCATGGTAGACATGTCACATAAGACTATTAGACACATCATGGAACACTGTTAAACAAGTAAAGTGTCAGGTAAAACATTGAAGTTTGTGACAAATTGGTCAACTGACATAAGAATGTTTGATGTCAGATGTTGCTTGTCAGAGTAGCTTGTTATTTTGTGCTGCAACATTGTAGACAAGTTTTGTAAATTTACACCAAGATGTTACAGTATGTCTATAAAAGATGTAATTAAATGTTTCCTTGTTTATCCTAGCTGGAAGAAGCCAAAAGGCCAGGTCAGGAAGAGAAACCTGAAGAGTCCCAGGACCAACCAGACATTCCATCAGAGGACAATGCTATTGAAATGTCTGATGACTTTGATGGGAAACTCCACGACATGGACGGAGATGGTGAGCTGTTCATCTATATATTTACAGAAATTAACTCCATTTTAACTTGTAAATTTTGGCATTGATGTTATAAAATATGTTGAGTGCTTTCAAAAGGTTTAAAATTTCTTGTTGATAGAAAAAGATGAAGAGGAGGATGACAATGAAAAGGAAGAGGAAGACATGGATAAACAAATAGGTGATGCTGATGGAGAGGACAATGACAGGTTGGATGACAGGATGTGGGGAAGTGATGATGAAGAGGAGCCCGAAGAGAAAAAGGTAATTGATGAGACAAGTGCTAGAGGCTGTAGAGTTGTCTTTGAGTTTAGTTTATCAAGTTAAATGGATTTTCAGACTGCTCCTGTCAGTGAACTTGTTATTTACTAACTGTACATACAAAACTATTTTTAAAGATTAAAAAAAAAACTATTTAATTTGAATAACATTGAATTTTTAAAACGGTTGTCTAATTTCTATGTAATTAAATGCTATTTAATTATCTGATATAAAAGAAATGCAACCATTTACCATTAGGGGTATAATCAGTATGTAGCACCATGTTTTAAAATATCTTACCTTAGGCCTCTTAATACTTATAAAGGTTACATATTATAACCTTTTTGTTACCTGTGTTTATTCCACAAGGACACAGAAGAAGACCAAGGAAAAGGTGGTATGGACAAAGAAAAAGAGGAGATGGTAGCTAAAGATGACAGTAAGAGTTTTGATGAGGACAATGACAATAATCAACAACAACAAAAAGATGATAATAAAGAGAATGATCTTCCCATGGAAGATGATGTAAGAAAATATTTATGATATAAGAAATCATGTTATCTCCATTAAGTTATATCAAGCCTGTCTAATGGGTTTTATAAATTTACATAATCTGTCTAAAATCATAATGGTACAATCATGTCAGCATTTTAAGTAAGATTTCAAATTTTAGTTTTTGCTGCTTTATTGATAGAATTTGTATAAATTGTTATAATTTGACACTTTTATAATATTATATAATTTAATATATAAATAGTATCAATGATTTTCTCAAACCTAAGATTTTGGCATTGTTTGTCTATTAAATGTTTTGTTTTGTAAAGGAAAATTATGACGATAACCAAGTGAACCCACACAATACAGAAGAAGAAAAAGAAGCAGAGAATTTGGATATCCCAGATGACCTGAACTTAGATGATGGTGAAAAAAATGATAAAGGTTAGACCTATTAAGTATTATTATGCTAAATTTAAGTATTCCAGTTAAATCCATGCACCTATCTGTCTCACACAAGTGTCCTGATCAACTTCCTCCATTACCCTGCCCATCTACCATCCTCCGTGCCTGTACCAGTGTTAGACCTGTCCACGCTTTGATGTTATTTTTCCAGTGTTTTCTGTCCTTTTTTTGGTTGATGCTGTTCCTTTACTAGTACAAGTTACCTTATAGCATGTTTACAGCATCAGCACTCTCCATTTTAGAACAATTGTTCCGTCATTATCATTACCAATTAACCCTATTATCCTGTCATACGATGTATGCGAGAGTTAACCCTTTCTGACTTGGCAGTTCTTTGGGCAGGTAAAGAGTCCATCAAGAGAAAGTTTGTTCAGTACTACAACCAGTTGCTTTTATTTTCTCTAATGTAAGTCAGGTACCTGACAGAGCTAGGCAGAATTAGGGACGTCCTAACTCTAGACTTTTGAGCTAGCAGTCGCATGCACTACTGCCCTATCATACCAGTGCAAATTTATCAAGTAGTTTTTCACTTAGTTGATGCTTGATGTTGAAAACTGTAATTTTTCTGATACAGAAGAAGATATGGAAACAGACAACATGGAAGATAACCAGGATGATGATGAGGGGAAGACTACAGAAGAAACAGAGGAGCCAGAATCTAAAGAAACTGAGGACAATGTGGAAGAGATTAATGCTCAGGTTGGTATTAAGACAACATTTCTCACCAAAAATTTAAAATTGTTTGACAATGCAGTAAAAGGTGCAGGGCCTTAATTATTTACTGTTTTAAAAAATGATACTGCTATATTTAGTGCTGTCACTTATAACCCTTGACCTCTTGAAGGTCAAGGATAACATGCCAAAGACAAATTTTTTTCATACATTTTGTTTATACAAAACGTATTTTAAATATTTGTACATTCTTGATTATAAAGTACTTACACTACAATATTTGTTATTCCAGGATGAAAAACAACAGGGAGATAATGATGGTGGGGACGCTGAAGAGGCAGAGGATGAACAAAAAGTAGATCATCTGCAGGCAGAGGAGGAGAAAGAGAAAGCAGATGAAGGGGAGGGGACTGATGGAGAAACAGCTCCTGTAAGTTTTAAGGCTTTCACCAGTTACTGTGTTAAGTGTTAATGCTGTCCTATACATTAAGTAATTTAAATTACTTTAACAACCATATAATTGTTTCAAGCTTTACATTTTGTTTTTATAATAGCATTCTTTTTTTAAATATGCTTACAATAATGGAAAAATATTTTTGTCCCCAATGAAAGGATGAGGAAAAGCCCACCTCAGAGTTGAATAGAAACAGAGAGGAAAACAAGAGTGAGGATAAAGTGGATACTGTAGAGGACTCTAAGGAACCTTCAACACAATCTGAGGCTTCGGATAGCAAGCAGGGAGGTGTAGAACAGGAGGAAGTAACTGATAAACAGGATGAAAATAATGAAGTAAGCTTTTCCCCTTGTTTTTATCATTGTTACCTCCCCTTGTACACAAGATTGTTTTTTTTTTTTTTTTTTTTTTTTTAAACTTCCAATCAATTATAAGTTTAAGTATACTTATTTAATACATTATACCTATATTTTAAAAAAGAAAATCTATTTGTCCTGGGAAAAAATTTTGGCAACCAAAAATGTGTTGAGTCAAATTTTAAAAAAACTAGCAATATTGTGTATTTTTACAGTTAGATTTTCTTGCAATTTCTGATTTTCACCTGGAAAATTTAAAAAAAAAGTATAACTTATTTTATCAAAATTTGCTCAACATCCTGTTTCAAACATGGACAACATTTCTTTTTCAGGTGGTAATAACATGACCTTTAATTAGTGATTAATTTGCTTCAAGTAAAAAGTTGCATCATACTTAACTTGATTTTACTTTCTCTCAGAATGAAGGTGTGGGTGCATCAAATGCTGAAGATCAGGAAGGTCACATAGGGCAACAGTCTAATCAGTCCACAGATTCTCCCTTCCAACAACAGCAACAGAAAAAGGTAATCAGACATCCCATCACTCAATACTGAAGTCTTTAAAAAAAATCTCAGTTATTATAAAAAATCCTGCAGTGCAATACATTATTATATCAAGATAGTTTATTTTGCTGGTATTGCTGTTAGGACATATGGGTGACAATCAGGCTAGGTTAGGCTAACAATCAGGCTAGGTTAGGCTAACAATCAGGCTAGGTTAGGCTAACAATCAGGCTAGGTTAGGCTAACAATACTGACCAAAAATAGATCCTGATAGTCAATACATCCTTTGTTGGGATTTTAAGCTTCCTGTTACCAAACAATGACTGCACCTATCTGATACCATGGTGATATCTATCCCAGCACCAGAGGAACCCAGGCAAGTCAGACAGTGATAGATCCCTCGGCAGTCATGATAAGGACCACAGCCATCTCAAGACTAAAGAAAACTCCATCAAGAAGAGACAAGAGGCTGATGAAGACAATGAAGAGGAGGACAGGAGAGATAGAAACCCAGCGACCGAGTACGAGCATGTGAAAGATGCCAAGTCTCATTACGATGCTCAGACTGTTGATGTTGCTACCAAAGATCAGATGCTGGAGAAACAGGCCGTGCCGACTCAGGAGGAGGAGGATAAAAATGAGCTGAAGGATGACGATGATGTTAAGATGGATGAAGAAATGGAAGAAGACACAGAAAATATGGTAATTTTTCTTTGTATTTAGTCAAACGTTGCCTGTTCTTCTACATAATTTATTAAATAAACCTGTGATAATTTTTTTTTTAAATTGAATGATAAACTGCAGTCAGGGTGCATGGCCTAATACTTTTGTTAGAGCCTGCTTATAAAATAAAGACTGTAACAGTAAACACTTGTCTTATTTAACCCTTGAACTTGTATAGTTCAAGGATACGTTAGGCAAGAACATTTCTTTGTTGCTGTTAAAAACATGTCATGTTAATTTGGCTGAATATAAACATGATTCTTGGATAATTTTTTTACATAATTATTTTATTAATTGTTAATAATTATAAAAAAAAGTTTTTATAAACCACCACCTTTTGAAGGATGCTCCAAAGCTGAGTGAGAAAAAGAAAACAAAGTCCAAAGAGATGACAGAGGAAGATAAAGAAAGTGAAAGTGGTGGAAATTTGGAGAGACAGAAAGTAGAAATAGATGGGGAGAGAGTGGTTACCATGACAGCAGAGAGAAGACCAGACTCAACAATACACACAGTACTGGAGAACCTTCACCTTGGTTTGATGGTGGGTGGGGCATGTCTTTGTAGTGTACACACAATATTTACTTTATACTCATGCAACTAAATTTTAAATTATGTTTTATTACAGTAGCTAAATTTGTTGTGGATAAAATAGATTTTTTTTTATATAGTCTCTACCATTGCAATCTTTCACTATTTAGTGTTGCTATATTTAGCTGCGCTGGTTGACCTTAAGGTTGCAATATAAAACTCTGTCACGATCCTCCCTGGTCTCATACAATGGCCTGGGGAGTTTGCACAGCAGGGACATTACTTGTGGACTGTAAAACTCGTTAAAAGTTGGGTAGGGACCTACCCTTTTAGACGAGGTGGTGTATAGGGCAGATGTAGCCTAGTTAGTGTTTCTAAGACCTCTGCACATGCAGTGATAGTGTGGTCAGTGTTAGGCACAGACACATTTACTCACCCTCATTATGTCAGGTACACATCAGAACAAACTGGACTATAGGAGTTCACAAGCAAGAGTACTAAAACCTAGGCTTTACAGTCTAACACTTCTGCCTTCTACAATTGTCTTCTTTAATTCCGCATGCTAATGCTACTATACTTACTATAAATATTTGTAAAAGCTGCAATGGAACACTATAATCCCACAGGTCAAATAAACCCAACTGTTGGCTGTGTCAAGGTGGATTCCCGCCATATAAAACTTGTTTTTTAATTATAGATTAATGATTTAGATGTGTTAGTTTAACTTGGCAAAATCTTATTTCCCTCAGCCCCAGGACATGGACGTGGATGCTCTAAGGACAGAGCTGGAGCAGTGTGTCCAAGTGTGGTCCCACCCTGAGGACATGCCTGCTGATGTGGTAAGGATTGGTTTTAACAACAAGATGCTAGGACTAAATACTTTGTTCTATCCTTGCATTTCTGGCCACTTTTCTAACCCATCAATTCATCATTATTATGTAAGGAAGATATGGATCTGTTTTAACAAGATGCTTGTACTAAATATTATGTTCTATCATTGAATCTCAGTTCACTTTCATGTTTTCTAACCCATCAGTTCATCATTGTATGCTAGTTTTGTTAATTTAGTAACTAAACTATCCGGTCAGGAAAGATTGTGTCTCAACATATATTCATATTTTAAATTATTCTCTTTATTCTCTTACAAGTTCTGGTTGTGATGTTATTTAACCCTCCACATTCTGGTTGTAATGTTTTTATTTAACCCTCTATATTCTGTGATGTTTTAGATCCAGTCAGCCACAGAAGCGTGGCAGAAGTACCAGACAATCACAGGACCCTTGTCACAAGAACTGTGTGAGCAGCTCAGGCTGATTCTAGAACCTTCTCAGGCCACAAAACTGAAGTAAGTTTCTGGCACTATCTAAGTTGGAACAGAACTTTTTCATAGATCACACAAAAGTTAGTTCAACTAAGTGAAACTCATGAAACCTGCTGAGTTAGAACATACAATCATTTATCATTGAACTGCACCTTTTGAGAAAGTTTTAAGTGGTAATAATTGTCGTCCACTGTAACTCAAATTGAACCTACTTTTTAAAATTTCTTTATTTTGTTATATATGGGATAAGCAGTTTTTATCTAACTACTTTTTTAATAGCTTATTATATTTAATGAATGATTACTATTTTTTAATAGCTTATTATATTTATTAAATGATTACGGTGATTGATAGCAAAAAAAACCCAGACCAAAATAAACTGAATCTTTTATAATGTTAACTCATTAATCCAGTTAAGACATTTTTTGTGTGAACTATTTTAGATTTTTAAGACAATGTTAATTTTTTTATCTGTACCAGGGGAGACTACAGGACTGGCAAAAGGCTGAACATGCGTAAAGTGATCCCATACATCGCCTCACAGTTCAGGAAAGACAAAATCTGGTTGAGACGCAGTAAACCAAGCAAGAGACAGTACCAGATTATGTTGGCTGTTGATGACTCGGCCAGTATGGCTGACAATCACTCTAAACAGGTGGGTGCTCATCTCTCTATATAGGTTTATGATCAATATAACTGGTTTTATTAAATGAATTACTTAAGAGTAGCAAGCAATCTTGCACTATTTAGTGTTGCTATATTTAGCCACACTGGTTGACCTTAAGGTTGCAATATAAAACTCTGTCACGATCCTCCCTGGTCTCATACAATGGCCTTGGGAGTTTGCACAGCAGGGACAGATCTAATCTATATATATAATTCTCTTCTGGGAGCCGTTAGAAAACAAGCTGCATGCGCGCCTTACAGTCCCCTCTCTTCCTCTCTATCGCTACCACCCCCCACCCCCTCACATGGTCTGGTGAGCTGTGGTTCACGCTGTTTACATTTTACAATCATAGAGACGGGTTTGGTGACGGCTATTAGGGGCAGATAATTTAGTTTGAAACGATTTTAAACTTAGAGGAGGTAACTAAGAGGAGGCTGCTTTCACGTGGGGGGGGGGGAAGGGGGGGTTTAGTGTTTTTAAGCAAATATTTTCAGTGGCAGCATTGGTACTGTCGAATTCACAAATTATAAATTACTGAAAAGTAGAAAAAAACAACTAAATAGCGGCGTATGATATGCAGCGGGTCGGCTCGTTATTTTAATTTTTTAACATACAATAGTTCACTTTGTAATTTGGCTTTAAAATCTCACATCTCTTTTAAAACCATTTTTAACATTTATATCTGAAAAATGTCTTGCTTATATCTCTTTCAGCTGGCCTTTGAATCTTTGGCGTTGGTATCAAATGCTCTGACACTTCTAGAATCAGGAGAGCTGGCAGTGTGCAGGTAACTTTATCTGACAAACCCAAGCTAGTTTTTTAGAGGTTTTAAAGTAAATCTTCCTGGTACCATAACAGAAAGATACATTTTCTACTTGACCATCTGTTTTCTGAAATGTGTTTCAGCTTTGGAGAAGAGGTGAGGCTGCTTCACCCATTCTCTCAGCCGTTCACCAACCAATCAGGGGCCAGAATACTCCAGCAGTTGTCTTGTGAGCAGAAACAGACCAAGTATGGAATGGTAAGTGGCTCAGTCACCACCTGGTGTTGAATAGCTACACCAGCAACAACTTGCCTGTGCTTTCGCACTAAATGCAAAATATTAATTTTTTAAAGTAAATGAAGTGTTTAAATAATGAGCAATCTTTCACTATTTAGTGTTGCTAAAATTAGCCACACTGGTTGACCTTAAGGTTGCAATATAAAACTGTCAGGATCCTCCCTGGTCTCATACAATGGCCTTGGGAGTTTGCACAGCAGGGACATTAAAATCAATAGTTAAATTAGGTTTTATTTTGCCATTGCCACAAGACTTAAACAATTAGGCTTCATTTCATGATATGTTTTACCTGTATCATCTGAGAACCCTGTCTTGGGATTTCATACTGGCTGAGGGGTACTGCCAAAAATCAGATTATTTCATCTTTAAATGAATCATCATTTCCCGTTCACAAGACACATGTGGCAAATGAAGTAGAGTTCATCTGCTTCAGAGACCCCCGCAATATGAAGGGATAGTGTGGTCAGCACATTGCCCAGCCTTTGTTTTCCTAACATAAGTTAGATACCCATCAGAGCTGGGTGGATTCAGGGACATTCTACTGATTTGAAACCGGATTTGATATTGAGACTCTTGGGTTAGCAGTCTAGCTCTCTACTGCTAGGCCACACCATCCCGTTTTAAATGAAAGCTTGCATTTAAATCATAGTAAATTTTGATAATTTGAAAAGATTATCTTTAAAAACGTAAATGTGCTTTGTTGGGCTGAGTCGGATGTTTTTGTTGTGACAAATACATGTCACACACCTTCAAACAACGACTTGTTGTTTTCTTTCAGCTTTTAGACCAAGCTATGGCCCTTCTGCTAGATGCCAGGTCCCACCAGACAGGTGCACCAGGTAACTCTGACACAGCCCAGCTGCTGCTGGTGTTGTCAGATGGCCACGGTGTGTTCAGGGAGGGCATGGACTTTGTCCGCAGGGCTGTGAGAAGGGCGAGGGCTGCCAGGATTTTCTTGGTCTTTGTTATCATGGACAACCCACAGAAGAAAGTAAGTTGACACAACTAAAACATTACCTTAATGTCTGTTAACCCTTTACAGCCAATGCGGCCGGAAATTTGTGTGTGGTTGCCCTACTAGGTATAGTACGTTTATTTATTACGTGTAGTAGCGGAAGTCTTGTTAGTAACTACATTTTGAAGATACTGGCAGAAGCGGGAAATATTAAGTTTTATTTTTTCTAAAGTTAAGAATTTTTTAAATCTCAAAACTACAAGCAATGAAAAGTCGCGAAATTAAATCTTATCTAAATGCGTTTTAATTATTTTTTTAGCATTTAAAATAAATTTCTTATAGAAATATTTGAAGTAGCGTTTTGTTTTTCTTGGATTAGTGTTATTTTTATTATTTGTAAATTATTAAGCTATTTAACTTGGACCAGTTTTGTGTATATTGCATTTTATTTTATACGAGACCACCCGCAGCGTATCATACGCCATTTATTTATTTTCTACTTTACAGTAATTCATAATGTGTGAATTCGACAGTATCAATGCTGCCACTGAAAATATTTGCTTTAAAACACTCTCCGTAGGTCGTTAAGGACGATACCCCCCCCCCCCCCCCCCCCCCCCAGTGAAAGCAGCCTCCACTTAGTTACCTCCCCTAAGTTTAAAATCGTTTCAAACTAAATTATCTACCCCTAATAGCCGTCACTAAACCCGGCTCTACGATTGTAAACTTTTAGCGTCAACCACAGCTCACACCAGACCATGTGGGGGTGATAGGGATATGCTTAGAGAGGAAGAGGGGGCTGCTAGGCATGCTTACAGCTTGGTGTTTTCTAGGGTATCCAAGAAAAGAATTATATATATATTTTAACAAGTGGTTATTTTTAAAAATATATTATAAAAAATGCAGTGGTTGAAAAATGAGTTGTCTTTTTAGCCTGGCCCTAGGTGAAGTAAAAGTTTTTTTAGAGCTCATCATTGGTTAATTAGGATCCTTTGTTTTAAAGCTGTATAATTTTCAGAATATTGTTGTTTTTGTTTCTATTTAACTCAAAGTTTTTAAATTTCAGGGCTCTATACTAGATGCCAGAGTGCCCATCATGGATTCTTCTGGAAAGGTTGTTATATTTATTTGCTAGTTGTGGTTATCCTTTTAACTTTTTACAACTTGTATAGTTAAAAAATAATAATTACTCTTTTTCACAGATTCAAGAGATAAAGTCGTACATGGAGTTGTTTCCCTTCCCCTTTTATATAATACTTAGGGACATCAGCATGATGCCACAGATTCTCAGTGATGCACTAAGACAGTGGTTTGAATTGGTCACAGGTTCTGATAGATGATGAACAGGTGAACTTTGAACACATAAATGAAAGCTCCTAGTGCAAACAATTATTTTGGATATAAAATTTGTTGTGTAAATAAATATTTGTTTGTCTTTTAAATGCATTTATGAAACTTTAAATTGTTGAGAAAAATTGGAGGACTTTGGTGCCCCATGCAATAAATTACACCAGTAAACACTTTATTACATAAAATTTTAATTATTTCATGTTCTATGATTTCAACATACAAAAAAATCTGCTTGGTAAAATTACAATACATTATTGATGAGATGAGTATTTTAAGTTTTTTTTATTTTAAAAAGTTTTTGTGTGATTCAGTTCAAATGAAAAATGGAGGAACAATTAAAAGGTTTACCATGGATGGGATCATATAACACAGAGACAGCAAAAGGCACTTCTAAAGAAATGGTGAAATAAGTACTGATACAATTATGCCACTTAAACAGTTTCAAATTAAAAAATAAGCAAGCAGGGGGGGGGGGGGGAGAGAGAAAGAATGCCATATCCATGTCAGCAGTGAATCAATGAATTCCTTTTAACAGGAAGATTTAATTATGAAGGGAAATAACTTATCACAGATTGTTACAACTCAAACAACCATGACAACACATTATGCAGAAATTTGACAATATTTGCAGCCCTGAGTATCAAAGTGGAAAGTGGTTTTACAAAGAAGGAAAAAAGCTCAAGAAAAAGCAGTTATTTAAAAAAAAAGATTTCAAGAGATGTTCTGAGACCTTTTTTTTATATAGTAAAATCTGCCTAAAATGAACTTATGTGAAGAGCTAAATATTCCTTTCAAGTAGAAGAGAAAATACATTTAAAAATAAAGCAAAAGAAATTAGCTGTAAAATGACAAAAAACACTTTTGTAAAAAACCATTAATTAACATGATTGACATAAATTACAGAAAAATCTTGGCATGTTGATTTAAGCACATTAGTTAAATAATGGTGTGATACCTAACCATTATAAATTAATATAAAAATAGAACATTATTTATCTGGAAATTCTATATCAACCACCTATTAATTTTTTATCAAACTACTAAATGGACTATCTGAATGTGATAAGTTAACTTTTTGGGCGGGTTAGTGTTGTGAAGGCTGGGTCATAGTCTGGCCAGTAATCTGGTTTGATCTTGGAGGAATTGGCACCAAACACATCAAGCAACTGCCTGTTCATTAGAGCAAATCTGAGGGGGAAAATATAACAAGTTGAAACAAATGTATTAAATACATTAAAAAAAATTTGTTGATAATAAATCAGACCAGTCTACTTGAACCTTTGCATTACAATTTAAATTTTAAAATAAACCTTACAGACTTAAGTTCTAATTAAAACTATCTCTAGTCTAACCCAAACCATTGAATAAAAAAAAAAACCAACTTGTTGTCTGTGACCCTGAGTAAAAACTTCCAGTAGCCTGGTCTAAGTGTGTGTGGCTCCATCACAGCCTGAAACATATACAAACCACATCGTACACTTCATAACATCAAATGACAACGGGGTCAACCCACAATACCAAATGACTTAAACTCACTTGGTGATACCAAATGACTTTTAACCTATACAGCGTATAACTATAACTTACTGCGTGGAATATAAAAGCCGTAGAGAATGCATAGATGAAGATGTCAGCACATTTGATGTAAGGGAAGCCATAGGACTCTATGCCTTTAAAATACAAAATCTGGCAACAACAAATAGATGTTTAAAAATGAAAGCCATGTAACTAATAATATCAATTATAATTGGTTATTTTAGAACCTGACTATGCATAAGTTGTAAATGTATTGTTTCTAGCTCTGACCTCAACTAGTTTAGTGGCAGCATACAGGGCTATGGTGACACTTCTGTAGAATCTCAAGGTCAGCCCTGCCAGGCCTCCTGCTATAAAACCATTGACAGGTGTGTCTTTGTTCCTCACCCACCTCAAGATGCAGTTCACAGCCTGGAAACACAAGCAATGTAGCATTGGTTAAGACATTTGAATAGTACATAAGCAATGTAGCATTGGTTAAGACATTTGAATTGTACATAAGCAATGTAGCATTGGTTAAGACATTTGAATTGTACATAAGCAATGTAGCATTGGTTAAGACATTTGAATTGTACATAAGCAATGTAGCATTGGTTGAGACATTTGAATTGTACATAAACAATGTAGCATTGGTTGAGACATTTGAATTGTACATAAGCAATGTAGCACTGCTTAAGACATTTGAATTGTACATAAGCAATGTAGCATTGGTTAAGACATTTGAATTGTACATAAGCAATGTAGCATTGGTTAAGACATTTGAATTGTACATAAGCAATGTAGCATTGGTTAAGACATTTGAATTGTACATAAGCAATGTAGCATTGGTTAAGACATTTGAATTGTACATAAGCAATGTAGCATTGGTTAAGACATTTGAATTGTACATAAGCAATGTAGCATTGGTTAAGACATTTGAATTGTACATAAGCAATGTAGCATTGGTTAAGACATTTGAATTGTACATAAGCAATGTAGCATTGGTTAAGACATTTGAATTGTACATAAGCAATGTAGCATTGGTTAAGACATTTGAATTGTACATAAGCAATGTAGCATTGGTTAAGACATTTGAATTGTACATAAGCAATGTAGCATTGGTTTAGACATTTGAATTGTACATAAGCAATGTAGCATTGGTTTAGACATTTGAATTGTACATAAGCAATGTAGCATTGGTTAAGACATTTGAATTGTACATAAGCAATGTAGCATTGGTTTAGACATTTGAATTGTACATAAGCAATGTAGCATTGGTTAAGACATTTGAATTGTACATAAGCAATGTAGCATTGGTTAAGACATTTGAATTGTACATAAGCAATGTAGCATTGGTTAAGACATTTGAATAGTACATAAGCAATGTAGCATTGGTTAAGACATTTGAATTGTACATAAGCAATGTAGCATTGGTTAAGACATTTGAATTGTACATAAGCAATGTAGCATTGGTTAAGACATTTGAATTGTACATAAGCAATGTAGCATTGGTTAAGACATTTGAATTGTACATAAGCAATGTAGCATTGGTTAAGACATTTGAATTGTACATAAGCAATGTAGCATTGGTTAAGACATTTGAATTGTACATAAGCAATGTAGCACTACTTAAGACATTTGAATTGTACATAAGCAATGTAGCACTGCTTAAGACATTTGAATTGTACATAAGCAATGTAGCACTGCTTAAGACATTTGCATTGTAGTTGTACATACATAAGCAATGTAGTATTGCTTAAGACATTTGAATTGTACTTGTACATAAACAATGTAGCATTGCTTAAGACATCTGAATTGTACTTGTACATAAACAATGTAGCATTGCTTAAGACATCTGAATTGTACTTGTACATAAACAATGTAACATTGCTTAAGACATTTGAATTGTACTTGTACTTGTACATAAACAATGTAGCATTGCTTAAGACATCTGAATTGTACTTGTACATAAACAATGTAGCATTGCTTAAGACATTTGAATTGTACTTGTACATAAACAATGTAGCATTGCTTAAGACATTTGAATTGTACTTGTACATAAACAATGTAGCATTGCTTAAGACATCTGAATTGTACTTGTACATAAACAATGTAGCATTGCTTAAGACATTTGAATTGTACTTGTACATAAACAATGTAGCATTGCTTAAGACATCTGAATTGTACTTGTACATAAACAATGTAGCATTGCTTAAGACATTTGAATTGTACTTGTACATAAACAATGTAGCATTGCTTAAGACATCTGAATTGTACTTGTACATAAACAATGTAGCATTGCTTAAGACATTTGAATTGTACTTGTACATAAACAATGTAGCATTGCTTAAGACATCTGAATTGTACTTGTACATAAACAATGTAGCATTGCTTAAGACATCTGAATTGTACTTGTACATAAGCAATGAGCATTGCTTAAGACATTTGAATTGTACATAAGCAATGAAGTACTGAGTCTAAACAAACAACTGACCCTAAAGATTGCTGAGTAACCACCAAGGAATGCAGCTAGTTTCAAGTTCAATCTGTTGAAGATTGTATTCTTTAATGTTGATGGTTTCTTGATAATGGAGTTTATGACAGAGACGGAGCTGAGAGTTGCTTGAACTAGGAAACCTATAGTAAACATCTTCGTGCCTCCCTGCAAAAAAAAGTTTTTAAATATTAAATGGATTGCTTCCCTTAGACTATTACTTCCATGTTTTAAATTATTTGATTTTTTATTTTATTAAATTTAAATCCAGGTTTTAATTAGATGAACGTGCAAATTATCAGATTAAAATTAACGTGGTTTTAAACTGTCTGAGAAAATAAACATTAAGTTTTTGTACGTGAATTTGAAAATCAATTAAATTTAAATCATAACATCAGTACAAAAATCACCAAAACGTGCATGCCAAATGTGCGAATCAAAACATTTCACCACGAAACATCAACAACCAAAGTAGATGGAATCAAGAGTTATCACCCACAATA